ATCTTCTTTCTCCAAGCTATTCTCATACTGATAACTTTTGAATAAAATTGTTAACTGATTCATGGGTTTTCAAATGTAGGTCACATATTGTTTTGCTGAGGCCCCCTGATGGAAGCTAGAAGACTTCATGGCATAGGAGGTCTTGCCATTGTAAGATACAGGTCTATGTTTTTCTTAGTTATTTGATACACTAATTCTAGCATACACAAATTTTCATTAATTTTAAGTTTGTAGTCTTTGAAATAAAGGTCATTAGACTCTGGATTTCATCAAAATACACACAAAGTCTCAAGAAACATCGAAAACAGATTATAAAGTATGTAATACCTTTGCTTTAGTATTTAGTATTGAATATCTTAAAACAGATGAAAAATAGACGCTTATAGTTTTTTTTCAACAAAAAAGAGGGGAGCATAAAAAATGTTAAATACTAAAATTACTTCAACATAACCTTCAAAGTAGGTGTTCACTGTCAAAAATATTTTGTAGCTTGATTTTTATTGGTTAGAGGGCTTACTGGCAAGTTCAGAAAGTAACTGCAAAGAAGAAAGTTTGACTTAAAATAATTTCAACCCAAGGATATGTTATTGGAAAAGTGGAGTCAATTTCCTAATTTTTTCAAGTTTTACATGTGGAATCAAATTGTATCGCTTCATACATAATATACTGATCATCAACGGACTTCATTTTTTGTTCGCATATTGCTTTAAAAAGCTTACATGAACAAAATTGTGTAAGCTTGTAATAATTCGCAGATATTAACAAAATAAATTGTGCTTTTGTAAGTGTGATCCTATAATTAGCACAGCATTACTAATTCTCTGTGAAGAGCTAACTTCATTCCACTCAGGTTAATCTAAATTTTCTGACAACACCACTTCCTATAATTTAGTTCTCAGAATTAAACCTACTCCCATCAATTCAGTTATCAGAATTCATTCTACTTCCACCAGAAAAATCAAAAGCTGTGATATGTTCACTAAAAACCATAGTTATGAGATGCTGATACCAGTTGAGGATCTTTGTTTTAATTATAACTATTATCATGAATAGAACTATTTTTCAATAGTTAGATTTACAAAAAAGCACACAAATAACAGATAACAATGACACTATTTTAATTTATTAATATGCATTATCTACTAAATAACATTTTTTGTTACTAAACATAATGCTCATATTTATGTTGTATAATAGAGTTTGAAACAGACACATAAAAATGTCACTAGATATCCATTCACTTGTGAGAAAAGTAAAAATTTAAAACCATTCATTACAGGGATTGAAATATTACATTTCCACATTCCAAGGAATTTAATCTTTTTTAGTTGGCTTTCCTGATTGAGAATGTATGGTCTATCTGTATTCTTTTAGCTATAACAAATGAAAGTGAACATATTGCATAGATTAAATGAAAAGACAATTCATGAGGAAATACAACTTTACATGAGGGAATGTAATCTTCCCAATAGCTTTCTCTCGAGTGAATGTAATTTTATTTCTGTCCCTGCTTTACTTTCCAGAAAATCAGTGACATCACTTTTAAACCCTATAACTCATGACAACTCATTCCATAAGTCAATCACTTATTAGAAAGATAAAATTGTCTCGAATGGAGCCTAGCCTCTCTCTTCCAAATTTTATACTATGTCCTCTTGCCCTTTTACCTTCAGACATCAGAATAAAGCACAAATAAATCAGAAGCATTTATTCTATTGATACCCAGATAACCTTGTAAGCTATAATAAAGTCATCTCTTACCAGTCTTTTCTTAAGATGAAATAAAAGATTTTAATCTATCCCTATAAAAGAAAAAAAACCTCCATTCCAGGAATCATTGTAGTAGCCTTCCTTTGAACATTTCCTATAAATCAATATTCTTAACTAAGAAAACCAAAATTGTAAAGAGTATTCAAAGTAAGGCCTAACTAGTGACTTGTAAGGAAGGAATTACTTGTTGTGATTTGTAATCAGTATGTCTTTAAATACAACCTAAAATTCTATTAGCATCAATGACAGGATTGACTTATCCACCATTATTTCAAGATCATTTTTTCAGATATGCTATTGAGCAGCTTCACATCTATATTAAACATGCAATTCAAATTATAATAATTCAATGCATTATAAGGAAAGCTTCCCAACTGATCCAAGTCATTTTGTAATACCTCAACATCTTCGATATAGATATAAAAACTCAAGTGTTTAATATCATCAGCAAACTCTATTAATTATGCCCATTAGTGTAAGTAAAAAAAAAATGCAAGGTCCGAGTACTAACCTTTGAGGTACTCTATTAGTGACAGGAATCCGGTCTGATTGGACCCCATTAACAACTGTTTACTTTCTCCCATTCAACTATCCTACAATCAAATTAATTAGTCCTTCCACAAGCCCTACTAATGAGATGTTTTTGATTCACCTTTTGTGTAGCACCTTATCAAAACCATTTTAAAAATCTAAGTACACCAAGTCCACACATTTTCCTTCATACAGATAACAAGTAAAATACAAATATCCAAATTCACATACTTGTATGCATTCTTACTTCTTAAAACTGCTTTTCGGAATACTCAGTTGTCAAACTATACCATAAAATATTAAAATGTCTTTAATCTGTAATCTGAATGTAATTGATTAATGATCCAGTTTACTAATCAATCATCAAATTCCAATAACCATATAGCCATTTTAATCAGCAGTACTTTGTAGCACACTATATATTAATGCTTAAAAAAAAACAACCAAAAGCATATCCCTGGAATGATACAATGTCAATGATGCCTCACCAGTTAAAATAAATTTAAAATCACACGGATTACATGAAGCAGCATGTTGAATCAAATAACATAAAGTTAATAACTTGTATAATACCAAAGCTGGTAGGTCATAATTCCTTTTACAATAGAAGTAAAGCAGGTGATTCTCCATGGTAAGCAGAAAGATTCTGATGAAATATTACTACATATTCTAAATGGAAACCCAAAATAAATAAGATAAAATTAAAATTTTTCAGAATAGTTTCAAGTCCTAATATAATTTTTCATGCAATTTGGTAATACATAAATAATTCCATACAAGTTTACACACCACCATCTGTGTGACAAGACAAATCTTATAAAACTGTAAATGACAGATGCTTCTAATCTGTATTTTACTTGAAATGAAAGGTTAAACAATGAGATCTAGATTTAATGTGTGTATATTTTTTGAAACAGAGAAAACAGCAAAAAAATAAAATATTTCTGGTACTTTAATGGGGCAAACAGCAAAAAAATAGAGTTACATTTAAAAAAAGCAAACGGCAAATGAATGAGATAATCTCCAGTTTAGGTGTTAAAACTTCATGATGTCAAGGTGCCTTCACAGGTGTTGAAAATTTTCAAGTTTAACTTTTATGACTTAAATATTTATCTTAGTTTATTAAAATACATGCTGAATGAAAGTAATATCTTGTATAATAACCGATTCATATTAAACTGCACTACTAATGCTTCAAGCCAACAATGTGGTCAATAGCTACAGAGCTTTGCAAGGCAGAGGCAATATACTTAGGCTAAATATAAAAAGGTATCGTTTATGACATTTAATATTTATAAAACAGAAAAGGGGATGCATAATAATTAAAATGATTACAATACAAATTTCAGAGAAACAGGATGCATAATATTGGAAATTATTAATTATTTTTCAAATTTGCTAAGTCAATAACATATAAGATTTTAATTGTGACATTAGTTACTGCTGTTACTAAACCTTAAGTTAAATTACATTCATTCATCTCCTATAAAGGTTTTATACCCCCCAACCCTCTTCCATACATTTGAATAATAAACAAAATTATAATTTCAATAGAATGTTGAGAATGAATTCTAGTACACACATGGCAAACGAAAAAAGAGACTACACAGCCAGATTTAAAAACAGTGATATGCAGCCTCAAAGTCTCTGATACACACAGATCACGTGTGCTTCAAATTCAAGTTCGAAAAACATACCCCTGCAATAAAAAAACTGTCTGATGTCATCTATAAGTTTCATATTACATATCTCTTAAAACAATAGGAATAACTACAGGGAAAGTTCCCTAAAAATCTAAAGAACAATGTACACATTTATATGAAGTCTATTTTACAGTCTTTAACATGTTAAGCAAATGTACTGCATAAAAAGATTTTCAATAAAAAATATACATGTATTTGTTTGAAATGATTTACTGAAAATAATAACTGACCAGACACATTAATATCCATCTCTAATAAGATAATGTAAATTTACAGCACTCTTAACCAAGCATTTCATTTAAGACTGTATTTAAGTTATTACTAATAGTTTGCTAATTAGAATATCAAAACTGATAATATAATTTCTTTCTCCCAAGTTTTTCATAACTTTCATGTATTTACTTTTATACTGTTGTTATCAATAGTTATAAAATTTACTTTTTCTTAGCATAAATCATCTAATAAATATATATATATATATATATATATATATATGTCACATAAAAACTTCATTTACCCAATAACTATATATTGGAACATGTTTTTGTATTTTACTAAAATTCACAGCAAATAAATTCATTAATTTATATTACTTAATTTTCTGTTTCAACAGTCCATGGTTCATATATTACTCACAATCAAGATTTTTTAACTTAAGAAATGAAAAAAACCCTTTTTGGAAAAATAAACTCAATCATCGGTTTAAAAATGAAAGTCATAATATTTCATATCTTATTATGATATTTATCAGGAACTTCTGTTTAAAAATCTTTAATTAATATTAGCAAAACAATCAAAGCAATTTAATGAACACATCTTTAAATAAAAATAATTATCTTTTCTTTTAACAAAACTCTAAGGTCGTTTTCTAAGTTCTATTAATTTATTTAAAAATTTCAGACAGCTGTGTAAAAAAAAAGTTTTTCTCTGAGCCTATACATACACATGTGTAACTTGCAGAAACTGATATCATACACTTATTTCATAACAGCTTACCTCAGGTACACATGGTAACACACTCATAAGAAAAAGTACTTCATGTCTCTAGTTGTCATGAAAACCCAATCTATAAACAAAAGAATAAAACAATTTTGTTTAACTTACTAACCAGATTTCAGCAACAGACAAATAATAGTTCAATTATACTCAAACAAATTAAATACATATTACATAATGTATCATTGTAATTGCAACAAGTTATAGCCACTACAGCTACATCTCTCTCACTGTCACCATACTGTGACAATGAGATTGAATAAAAATCTGAAACATTTAACTAATACATTACATTTTTATTATCTAGGAATAATATAAGAAATAAAATTTAAAATACTTGATTGATAACATTTTAAATACGAAACCTTTTAGTAGTTTCTGTACCTGTAAGTTCTTAAACTTTCTCTAAAGGAAGGTGACAAATAAAATTTAACATAGGTAGTTTAATAATGGTTGGAGCTGGCTTGAATGGGTAATGAAGGAAAAACTTTAATACAAGTTTAACATAACAGCAAATTTACAATGTTTCGACAAGGTTTTGTCATCATCAGGTACATTTGCTGTTATATTAAACTTGTATTAAAGTTTTTCTTCATTACCTATTCAAGCCATCTCCAACCATTATTAGTCTCAAAGTGGGTTCCTTGTCATTGAAATAGGTAGTTAATCTTCCTATTAATAAACACAGTTATGTTTCGGTCTATTTCAACTCAGAAAGCAACTTGTGAAAATTTCATTAATCCTTTTTACTTTTATAATACAACTTTGGAAGAAAACAAATAGGTTATTCGCCTATCCTTTATACTTAAGCCTTTCTTACTTAAGCAAACAAAGCTTGATGCTTAAAAAACAGTGCACTAAACTTCTATACAAGTACTGCACCCAAATGCAACTAAATCAACTTACAGTCACCTATAAACCTTCACACTGAACTAAGGATTTTTTTTACTCTAAAAACCACATCCCAACTTTACTTCATTCATGGATTATTTACTTTTATGTGTGGAAACTGTAAGGCCACTTATATCAGTAAAACTAAATATCACTTATGTGTATATATCCATGAACACATCTACCTCAGCTATTCACACACACACTCAAAACTACTAATAAAATATTTTTCTTTATATAACTTCTAAGCTGTTACTACATGCTGCACAGACATACAATTTTGTATAGATACAGGAATCTCATAATTAAACAAGATATTCTGAATTTACTGTTACACTTCTGAGGAACTATATTTGTCCTAGTTTACTTCATATTTATTTTCAATTGTGTATATCTTTCATAAATAGTGTAATCTTTCCAATGTAAACTTTCTTTACTACACTGGATTATCATTTCTGTGGTACCATTACCATTCTTTCTCATTACAATTTAGAGTACTCAGAACTTTACAAGATAAAATTTCACTTCATTGAACCATTTAAATGTCTTTTATAAATATAAATGAAATGTTACCCAAAACATTAAAACTGTTAATGTCACTCTATTGTTCAGATATTGTTACAAGTATACATTTTCAAATTCCAAATGGAAGGAATGTGCCTACAATTTTTGAAGATTGGCTTTCCCACACAAGTACTCAGATGTAAATGATGCTAGAAATCATGAAACTCTGATTCTGAACTTGGTGAGAGCATATTCCTGAATTCCTATTATTAAAATTACAAAATAAAAATTTTATGCAATCAGTATACGATTTATAAAAAACAACAACAACAAAATTGTTCAAATTGTTGTCTTACGGTTTACTAGGCTTAACAATAACAAGAGTAACCGATACTGATACTCAGTGATAGGGTAACGTGACTCAACTGTGGTGTTGTAGGCGTAATAATAATATTAATAATAGCATTCTTTATTACGCGTACGATACAAATGCTATTGCCAAGGCTAGTCTCTAGTTATAACGTCATACATAGGTTATTAAGTATGACTAAGTCACTAGAAGTAGAATTATACTTTATTAGTTTATAGCCATAATACTTTTACGAAATATGACTACGTAATATCGTCGATGAATCGATTTAAAATCAATTATACACACCTATAAACATTTACTACGTATATTAGAATACCTTAATTTTAACAAAATACGTTAAACATACCTCCAACATAACTAACTTGTACATTATACTTATAATGAACAAACTATTAACGTTACTGTTAACACCCACATTAATAATATCGCACGCTGAATAGCGTAATGTTTGATAAATACCCGCTAGAGAGCGACACCTACATATATATGCTTTAGAAAATATTCGTTGGGTATATTTACTATAGATAATTATCGCAGTTTTTTATACCACTAGTGTTACTCATAATGCCAATGGATTAACTACATAATTAAAAATATTTAAAGCTTATCATTAAAAAATGGACAATAAATATTTTTTCTTTTTGCCGATTATAGGGAAAAGGAAATAAACCTCTGATATCTATGAGTACACATTCCTCTTTGCTGGTTGCTGCCATCTATTGATGGATATCTAAGTTTTTTTTCGTATAGTTGATGGTATGTGATGAAAAACACCATCCATCACATCTGTCAAGGCAATGCAAAAATGGTTTTATTTGCAGAGATGATTTTATTCATAAATTATCGTAACATTAAAACAACACGTATATAATGGCACTAGACAAGGTTTTGGGTCCGAGCTTGCTAAACCAAACTATTTCAGTCAAGATCGCAACTATCTATCCTACCCAAACTTCAACAAAGAACTATTGGTTCTACTTTCCAGAGAAGAGCCTTGGATACTGATGGTCTCCAAGATCAAGCAAAGCAATCAATCGATTACTTCACTAAGTGGGCTGAGGCATACTCGTTGGTTGAGATTTAGCCACGGTCATGGGTATCCACAGAAATATTTTAAGGGGGGAGCAAGACATGTATGTAGGGAATCAGCTTTTGCAGTGTAATCAACAGATGAAAAGAATATGTATTACGTGGGCTTAAAAGCGAACACAAATTTACAGTTTTAGTCAAAATTACTAAAAATATTTAGTTTAACTACAGTTAAGTTTACAGCATATACATGCAGTTTTTTGTGAAATGTGAACGGGCAAATGCCCCTTCCTGCGGACACCCATGGTCACAGTCAATTGTTGATGTGTTAAAAGAGTAATGGATAGCATGTCTTGGCACCCCTAAAGAGATTAATACATACCATGGAACTAATTTAAACAGACAATTATTCTGTGAGATGTGCACAGTTTTAGGAGTGCTGAAGACGTGTAATTTACCTTATCACCCTCTAGTCAGATGATTTGGAAAAATAGGTGATACAGCCAGCCAAACATATGATTCTAAAATTTGTTCATCCCAGTCAAACCGATTGGGAACACTTGCTATGCATTATGATGTCATATTGTGCTTGTTTGTTTGTTTGTTTTTGGAATTTCGCGCAAAGCTACACGAGGGCTATCTGCGCTAGCCGTCCCTAATTAGCAGTGTAAGACTAGAGGAAGGCAGCTAATCATCACCACCACCGCCAACTCTTGGCTACTCTTTACCACGATAG